CCCTCCCTCCCTCCTCCTCCCCTCTCTCCTCCTGCCTTCTTCTCACATCTCTTTGTTTCTCCGGCTCCCAGCTCTTGTCAGAGTGATGAGCGCAACATTAAAGAAAAAGATTTACTGAAATTAGACCAACAAGAGGCGAGAGGCACAGGGGGCGTCGCTCCTCCCTTCCTCTTCTCGTCTTGTCGATGCTCGGCTTAGAAGGCTGTGGGGATGGAAGTTGGCAGCTCAGCGTACTGGGTCGACGTCAGAGGAGAAGGGAACAGACTGATGGGGTGAGACGAGAACAGCAGAAGGCGGAAGCAGGAGAGGGAGGAGAGGGAAGTGTCACCTTCAAGGCGTTGATGGTGCCGTTGAGGATAATAAAGGAGCCAACAATCTGAGCTGTGCGGATGAGAACAGCCCGAGGGAACGCGATCGCAGCGAAGGTTGCCATGGCCTTACGGGTGCCCGGAGAGAAACTGCAGGTGCGCGTCACGAGACAAGACGAGGGAGCAGGACGAGGAGACATCGCGCACAGGATGCAGTCAAAGACGCGCAAGCGAGGACAAGAGGCAGGGGGGAAACCTGGTCGGGATGCGGCTCTCAGACTGAGAGACGAGCGACTCAAGGTGCTGCATGTAAGTCTTGGAGGGAGTCATGAGCTTGAGCGTCGAGAGGTTGTGGGGGATGTGCGAGAGGTACCCAGACAAGACTCCTGAGATCATCGACCCGAACGCCGTGCGAAGAGCTTCTGACTGAACGATGCTCTGAGGAATGCGCTCCTCCCAGTAGTCACTAGTTCCTCACGGGTCAGACATTGGACGCGGGGGGAAGGAGGGAGGAGAAAAGAACCAGCGGGGACTAAGGAGAATGCGAGCAAGAAAGGGATTGATGAGGGAGGAGGAGAAGAGAGGGAAGGGGGGAGGGCAGGGCAAGGGGAGAGGAGAGACGGACAGACCTCATCTGATTGAGACCAAGTCCGAAGATGACCTCGCGCACAAGACGCCATGAAATGCCTCGCATCCACCTCGTCGTGATGGGCTCCGGGTTCATGTGCCCGGCGTTGGAAGCTTCCAACACGCTGCTGAGAGGAGTCATGAGGATACCTGCACAAGTTCAGTCTCCAGCCGCCGCCCCAATGCGCTGAGTACCTGGAGCGAAAGACATTCCGAGACGGACGGCGGTTGGGTTAGAAAACTCCTCGGGTTTTACCTGAAAAAGCGAGGCTAGTCAGCGTGACCACATCTACGCCGTTGTCACCTTGTAGTCCATGTACTGGCGGAGCCCCTTGAAGCCGTTGATGTATAGGATACGAGCAGGACACTGAATGTGCATGTTGGGAAAGAGCTTGCCCCAGTGACCGGACAGACGAGCATTCATGGCCGCACTGTACCGGGGTAAGGGGAGTGAAGGGACAAGGAAGCAACTCACTTGAGGCCAGATCGATAGAAGCTCTCGATGGAAGCAGCGATGGTGACGGCAATCACGTTGGTCTTCTTGGGTCGCTGCTCCAGGAGAGGAGTGCGCATGAGCCATCGGACTTGATTCGCCTGTCTCCTCACTTCCACTGCCAGACTCTGAACCACTTCTGTGCTGAACTGAGGGCTCTCCAGGTGCTTCTTGAGCACAGTGGCAGGAAGCGAGTACATGTAGCCGTTGCTCATCGCTTTGGCGTTGGCAAACGCTGGCTCTTCGTGCAGGACGTGCAGGGCACCGATGGCGATCTTGCGGTTGCCGAACTTGTCTGGCTCTGTGTTGCCGAACATGTCCACGACCTGATGGCTTTGATCATTGACGACTCGCTCGCGCCGGATCTGACCGTCGGCGATGAAGAACGCTCTGACCCGACACAGTCAACGTAGCCAGGAGACGCTCCTCGCACTCACCTGCTCTGAGGCCATCCCTGCTCCAGAATGGTCTGACCCTTGCTGAACTCTTCTTTGGACATGTCTTGTGCAAGCTGACAAACGGCAAACATTAACATCAAGAAGAATATGAATGAACGTGTCACTCCAATCAATCAGTACTCAGAACCCTAAGAGTACTTTGGGTTTAGCGCACATCGATTTTCACTCTTTAGAGGTCAACAGGCATCGTGTAGGCAGAAAAACTCTTGACAAACATCCCATGAATACATATATGATCGTCTATATACAAAGATTCGATCCCCTTCACCATTTTTCATCCTGATTCAGATTCATCGTAACTAGCATAGAGATGTTTCGACGCCTGAACACACTTTGCTATTGCAAAAGTTCCACATCGCAACGGGTGAATAGGTGGAGGCGTGTAGAGGAGGAAAACGTCTCACCTTTCTGAGAGTGCTCTCAGAGCAAGCATGGAACATGGAGCTCTGCCGCAGCAGCCTGATCGCCTCGTCCTGCTCATCCCGGTTGTTGATCCCCATGCCTGCTCCACGCGCTCCCTCACCCCTGACACCACCCCTACCCTACCCTACGCTACCTCACGCTACACTACCCTACCCTACCCTACCGTGTTGCCTTCGCACCGGAATTTCAGATTCATCTACCCCATCCTTTGACCCCACCCCCTACGTCAGGTGGTCAACCCTCACATACTCCAAAAGAGGGATGTGGGACGGGTCTGAAACTCAATATTACCCACCCTACCCCTTCTCACAGCAATCCTCCTTTTGTTACCCCTATACCCTAACTCAACACCCCCACCCCCACCCTGAAAGTGATACGGTGAAGTAAGCCTTTCCTCTACACAGTCACTACCCCCTACCCCCCTTTCTTCCCCAATTCAAGAGTTGATGGGTTGCCCCATGTCAGAAACACCCTACCCACCCTTGAACTCCCGACATGATATCACTAAAATAGAGGGGTCATCGGAAGACGTGACCTTCAACCACCGGTGGTTCTGTAGCCAAAGCTCACCTTCTACACCCCTGCCTCTGTGACAACCACCCCTACCCTTCCCAGGTGAGCTCGAAAATGTAGGCGGTGCAGGTTTCACCGGTAGGTTTTCCTAGTCAAGGTCCTAAAGTATGAGGTAGGGTACTTTCAAGGGGGCGTTGCAAGGTAGTAAAGGGGTAGGGTACTACACCCCACCCAGGTGAAATCAGGTACGTTAGCGGTACCTCAGGACCCCTTTTCGCTGATGAGTCTGTCGGTTACACTACCGTTTTATTCTTTGTTCAGCAAAATAACCGCTATAACCGTAGGCGTGCCGCCAAATTCAAATCTTTAAAACCTAATGGGAACGCTGGAGAACAAGGGAGGGAGGGAGGGAGGGAGGGAGGGAGGGAGGGAGCGAGGGAGCGAGGGAGCGAGGGAGCGAGGGAGCGAGGGCAGCAAGGCAGCAGGGCCAGCATTGGCACAAAACAAGAATAGGCTGAGGTAGCATAACCATACTCGAGCAACTGAGCCCAAACATGTAGCTGATGGCTTTCGCTCCTACGTGGAGACAGTGATGTGATGTATTGCCAGGTATGATCTCCTACTCCAAGAAAACCAAGCAACAAGGCACAAGCCCCGTTGCTGCCCCAATGAATTTTCAAACAAGTTGAGACCATCCCGTCTTCCCGGTGCGCACAAACCTCTCCCCAGAGCATCCCCTTCTGCTTCGGAGATCCTGATGGCAACAGCTATGCAAAGCCAGGTGAATGTAAGAGGAAGGACTCTCAGGTATCTCACCATGTAAGCAGATGAAAACAAGGCCTACAAGCGCAGTGACGAGCAAGCACGGCGAGATATCAGATCAGACAATTTTGAATGAACTATTCGCTCTCCAAACATCTCCTTGCGTGAACAAGATATCGACTTCTCCATCTTCTTCTGTGCTTTGCTTGAACAGAGCAAACTGTGAGATTAGCGCGTCTGAGGGGCTGAGCCCTCGTGCAAGTAAGTTTGAGGACGAAAGCTACGCAACTCCTCCGACTGTCTACAAGGGTGCAAGAAGACTTGAGGATGAAGAAAGTCAGGATGAAGACACGCTTGATGGTATGAAAGATGACGAGGAAAGCAGCATCGGCTAACAAGTCCTGGCTCAGATTACTCGGAACAAGCATCCTCACGACTTGAGATGTGCGTATTGGCTCTTGTTCTGCTACAGGAGGATGGGAGGTAACGGAGCTCGCAGCAGGCTGGGCAGCTGGTCTCCTCGCATGGAGGGCAAGCAACTTGAGGAGGGCTCCAGCTCCTCGTTGAGGCCTCGGGACCAGAAGCTGGAGGCTCAAAGGAGGTGAAGCGAAACCCCCGCAGTGCTGCTGCTCATGCTGCGCAGATACCGCGAAGAACTCGACATGCAGGTAGAGGAGAAGCGCGCGCAGACGGCGAAGGCAGGAGGAAGAAAAGCTGCAGGGGTTTGGGTGAGCAAGCAGCAACAGTCGCGATTGCCCCGGGTAAGGAAGAGAGGAGAAGGAAGGAGATGAGCGTGATGCAGAGCAGGACATGAGCGCGACCCCGTCTCCTCTGTTTGCTATGACGGGAAGACTGAAATCCATGCACTGGGGAGCTCGTGAGGTGGAAGAGTGGAAGGAGCAGACGGAGAAGAAGAAGAAATATCGGGAGGAGCTGCTGGAGCAGATCGAGAGGAGGAAGTTGGAAGGGAGGAGGGAGCAGGACAACATCTGCAGGAACCTCTTCGCAGAGCGAGCAGACGATGAGAGTGAGACGTCGGTCCCCGTGACGCCCAACAAGAGGTGAAGCAGACTTGTTAGCAACCTGAACTCACTCAATGACCAGCACCGAGACGGAGATATACGACCAAGACCTCGACTACGAGCAGGAGGTGTTGGTGGGTGAAGATGAGCCTTTCATCCTTGACGACTTGCAGAATTGGACGGGGAGGAGAAGCGAAACGAGCGAATCAGGTGAGTCATGTTGCTTGTTTACATCATAGAACATGAAAGAACTCTCACAGTTTCTTCTCTGAAGCTGCTGGAGAGGCGAAGAGGAGATGGTGACAAGTGCAAGGTGAAGAGAGTTCCCTCTCTGCCCATGGACTTTCTCAACCGATCGCTGGGGTGCAAGAGGAAGTGACCATTGCAGTCCTCTCCTTCCATTACAAAAATGAATCGTCGTTTTACTCCCTCCTCCTCCTCTCATCGGGTGTCGCATTCTTTCCCTCCTTCCTGTCTCTGATCAGCGGGTTCGCCGCGTCTCTCCTTCCTCTCATGCTCGTCACACCCTCCTCCTGCCACAAGTCCACGCCCTGCGACTTCGGCGAAGCCTCCTGCACTGCTCGCTTGATCTCTGCGATCTGACGGAGACGTTGCAGGAGAGAAGCGTCTTCTTGCACGTGGGAGAGCTGCAGGAGAAGCGAGCGAGAGGAGGCGTCCTGATGGAGCTTGGCGATCTCAACCTGCATCCTTGAAATGACTTGACCGAATTTTTCCACCAGCCTCCTCTCCTTCTCCTTCCATTCCTCGCTCCCCTCACTCTCGCCCTTCCTCCCCTCCCGTGTGCTGTCGTTGTCTCGAAGGTCGACGAGCTCTCGCAGCTGCTGGTTCTCTCGCAGCAGAGCCTCGTTGGCGTCCATCAGCTGCTCCATAGTGCGGAGCAGGCCAAGCTGCTTGCTCGAATTCGTTGAGGAGCCTCGGAGGGGCAGAGCCATGGTCTGCATCTGAAGATTGAATCAGCGAGGAAGGAAGGTGAGAAGGACGATGAAGGGAAGACTATGATGATGATGAGCAGGAGGAGGAGGAGGAGGAGGAGGGAATAAAATTGATCATGGTATTGAGGAAGAAGAAGAAGAGGAGGAAGAGGAGGATAGCGGAGCGATCAAGTACGAGTGGAGGCAGAGAGTGGGGAGTAGTTCACCTTGCTCGAGCGGAGGGCGAAGTTAAGAGTGGAGTAAGTCTCTTCAGTGTTGGCCTGGAGGGGAGAGATGGAGGCGATCAGAATCACCCGCGTCTCTCCCAGCAGATCCTCCGACAAGAGCCTGGTTAGCTTGCTGTCCCGAAGTGGAACGTGAATATCTCCTCCCTTTTCTCCTCCTCCTTTCTCTCCTCCACCGCCGCCGCCGCCTGCTAGCGCAGCCACACACTTGCCAAGCACGCTGCACGGAGTTGTAAAGAGAAGAGAAGAGAAGACGAGCAGACCTCAGGGACAGATTGATGTTCTTGGCTTCATCCAGTCTGAGTCCCGAACTTCCTGACTTTGAGAGTCTTTCGCTCCCTGCGAGATCTGCGGTGGATGAGGAGGAGGCTGAAGGCAAACCCGCATGAGTCATGCGCATGTTGACATCTCACCGACAAACGTCAGCACTGCAGACCGATGGTTCTGCTTCATCGCGTGGGGTCCCAGAAGCCTCTGTGAGTGATGAGGAGGAGGGAAGAGGAAGCAGACGGAGGGACCTGCTCGACCTTGACCTTGACGAAGACATGACTGCGACTGCTGACGTTGTTGGTCAGAGTCTTGGACACAACTCGATTGCACCTTGAATCGAACAAGTTAACCAGCTCTCGCTCAATCGGTTCGTCACCAAGCATCTCTCAACAAGGCGATGCCCTCGCTGGTTGACGCTATGTACCTCCATGTCGCATCCTTGCAGACAGCAGATGCGTCAACAAGGGACCGCAAGCAGGCAGGAGGAAGTCACCTGCACGAAGATGCCTTGCTCGCCCTCCCTGATCTTGAGCTTCTTCTTCTCTGACGTCAGCAGATCCTTGACCTGCGAACCTTGTCCCTAAGACCCCAGCTGCTGCCCACCTCTCTTGACCTGATCGAGATAAATCTGAAAGACGCAGAGAGAGATGCGGTACTGCATGTTCTCCTCGTCTCTTCTGATCGTCTCAAAGATTCTCTCAAGAGATCTCGGCAAGATTCCGGCTTGTTGCACGTTGCGCGATGACAGGCAGTCATCCCAGAACGACTCGCCGCCAAAGATGGTGAAGGTTTTCCCAGCACCTGTTGGTCCGTAGGCCAGCAGAAGGCCGTTGCTTCCTCGCATCACTGACTCAACCATGTCCTCGGCAGCCGCGATGAAGGTCTGACCTTGACTAGCGGCTGGCGACAGCACCTCGTCGAACCTGTACTGTCTCGTGCCGTGGGACCGCAAGCTGAGCGTCTTGTCGTCTATGATCTTCACGCAAGTCTCTTCGTCGCTCTCTGCTGGTCGTACACGGACGATAACCCTCACTCTCCCATTCCCACTGCTCTTGCTGGCAGTTCTGCTCATCCTGCTGATGTCAGCAGTCAGTTCTCAGTCCTTTAGAAGGCATCCACAGTGGGCTGGTCCATCCCAACGGGACTCGGGCTCTCCCAACCCCACATCTGAGTCCTCCGTCATACATCCCTCCCTCCCTCCCTCCCCTCCCTCCCTCCCTCCCTCCCTCCCTCCCTTACCTCTCACCTCCTCCCTCCCTCCCTCCCTCCCTCCCTCCCTCCCTCCCTCCCTCCCTCCCTCCTCTTTAATTTTTGACGTACAGTTGAAAACTGAAACTGAGCCGGCCCGCCCCGGATGTGCCGGTGGCACTCCGAGGGGCCCGGGTTCCGAAGTTCGGCCGCTGCTCACCGTGGCACCGCCGGTCACGGTGCCCGGTGACCGCCGGGCCGCGCAATGGCGCAAGCTTGTCCTCTTGCGAGCCTCTCCGTTTCAAACGCCGATCCTCCAAGCTTCCCACGGCGCATGACAACCTTACTCGTACAGTCAAGGCGATGCTCAGCGAAGCCGGCCTCATGATTGCATCCTCCGAGGCTCGATACAGTCGGGGATCCTCGGCCCGTCTCGACGGCAGGTACCCTCCCATCCTCATTTGCAACTATCATTGAAGTTTTACTCGCAGAAGGCAAAAAGTGCCTCAAGCAGAACAAAGCAGGAACAAGCTAAACCTCCGACTCAGTGCATGCACACAGCGCACAGCGAGAAGCTGCACAAACACACACAACAACTGAACCTTTGCTCATATCGCCGGTGGGTCTGAGCAGTACGAGTCGGACGTCCCCACTTGCTGCTTGTTACCCCTCCTACAGACTGTTGCTTGCCCCTGAGTCCTGCTTGTCTGCGCGGCTTCGCGCGTGGGCTGGCGGTGCCGGGCCCGGGTCTGCTGAGTTTTGTTGTGTGTGTTTGCCAGTGTGCAGCTTCTCGCTGTGGCGCTGGCCAGTGTGTGCGGCAGGTTTAGCTTGTTCCTGCTTTGTTCTGCTTGAGGCACTTTTTACCTTCTGCTAGTAAACATTCTAGGAGGACTGTTTGCATCACATAGAGCGGTACCGTCAGCATGCGCCCAGCCTCCATGTGTCCGCTGTCCCAGCGGCGGACCCCCGGGCAGCGCCGGCTCCTTGTCGGCGGCCGCAGTGCCCTTTCTCCGTCCGCGGCCTCTGCGGCGGTGGACGCCTCGACCGCCGTACTCTGACGGCTGCCTCCGGGTACCGTGTATGAGGGCGTTCACGTCCCCTGCTGTACCGATGTCACGTTGACATCCATCACATTCCGTCGGACACTGGCAGATCGGCATGCGGTGGGCCATGGAGATAGCAGTCGAGCATCTGAGCATAGCGGTGCGGGAAGGCCTTGAGGGGATAGTAGCTCGAGACTCGCATAGCGGTGCGGAAAGGCCTTGAGGGGATAGTAGCTCGAGACTCAGCTACGTCCTGCGTCATCAGGCACAGCAGCCGGGGCAGGTGGGATCGCCGCGCCATCTGCAGCCGGTGCAGGAGCCTTCACACGACGGTATGCTTCTGGGCACGGAGAGATCTCGAGCAGTGATGAGGAGAGGGCAGCGTCCGTGACATTGGCTGGTCAGAGTACCAAGCCTTGAAGCGAGGAAGCGAGCGATAGCCGTATAGTAAACAGCGGGGTGTAGACCCTCAGAGGGCGTGAACTCGTCCCCTCCCCGACTATGCGGAAGCTCCCGCTTGAACCTCGCAAACTCTAGCAGGTCGGGATGCGCAGAGAGGTACTGCGAGGAAGGCCAGCGGTGGTATTTCTCAAGCGCCAGGTGGACAGAGAGGTCAAAGCGACGAATCTGTGACTGGACCCGCGGGAGAAACGGAGATGACCCCTGGAGGAAGAAGCGGAGCTTCTGGAGATGGCTCGCCCTCACCAGCGTCTTGAACATGAAGCCATGCTGGACGAGCCCGAGCTTCGAGAGCTCTTCGTTGAGGGTAGAACTTCGGAAACCTTCGCTCGGAGCTGACTGGCTAGCATGAAATCCATCGGTGCCGATAGGCAGGCCGCCAAGTGTAATCCCGCCAGTGACGACCTCGAAGTGAAGAAGTTGAGTCTTGAGACGGCGCTTAAGGCTCTTCGTAAATCCATTAGCCTTCTTCAGCTGCGAGAGATCAGGGTGTTGATTCAGTAGGAGGGGATGTAAACTTTCGACTCGCGAGGTTGAATCTCTAGCTTCAGATCAGCCAACATGCATAGGATTTACTGGCAGAAGGTAAAAAGTGCCTCAAGCAAAACAAAGCAGGAACAAGCTGAACCTCCAGGCACACAGCGCACAGCGAGAAGCTGCACAATCACACACAAAACACAAGCCCGAAAAGAACCAGCACTGCTTGCACCCAGACGCGTCTTGCAGTCTACCATCTTCGCTCATTTCCTGAGCGAGACCTGAGCCACTCTCCGATGCGAGTCTCGAGCTACTACCCCCTCAAGGCCTTCCCGCACCGCTATGCTCAGATGCTCGACTGCTATCTCCATGGCATGCCGATCTGCCAGTGTCCGACGAAATGTGATGGATGTCAGCGCGAGCTCGATCCCTCCGTTGCTGCACATCATCTCCAGACCTGCAAACGCTGGTCTTCAGAGCGTCATCGATACAGTGGGGGATCCTCGTTCTCGACGGCAGGTACCCTCCCATCCTCATGGCCGCAAGATGAAGGGCGATATCCACATCCCTGGAATCCGCGATCGAGGGTCCGAGCAGTACGAGGGCTTGATGGCGGACGTGACGTTGGTCCACCCTTACATTGGTAGCTCTGCCGACCTGACCAAGTGGGGGGAAGTCAACCTCGACGCCCTCCATGTTGCAGCGTCTGAGAAGATTCGCAAACATCGCGCTGCATATGCTATGCCTCTATGCCAATGGTCCTACCAAGGACGCGCTTATCAAGCGCCAGTGCCGACGTTTCTTGAAGGGTGAATGGAAAGCTCTTTTCAAGCGCTATCTGCCTGCTGCAGAAACCCATGGGAAGAAGCAAGCAAAGGGGGCGCGGCAGCCTTCACCGCCCCAAGGACAGCAGCAGCAGCAGCAGCAGCAGCAGCAGCAGCAGCAGCAGCAGCAGCAGCAGCAGCAGCAGCAGCAGCAACTTCGGCGGTCACCTCGGCACCTGCAGCCCTCGTCCCTCCCACAGCAGCAGCTGCAGGAGTCCGAGCAGCTGCAACCGCCCCAGCAGCCCTCGCGAGGGCGGCGGCAACGGAAAAAACAGCAACGGCGGCGGCAGCCACATCCGCAGCCGCCGCAGCCGCAGCCGCAGCCGCAGCCGCAGCCGCAGCCGCAACACCACCGCCACCAGCAGCAACCGCAGCAGCCGCAGCCGCAGCCGCAGCACCCGCGTCAGCAGCAGCAGCAACCGCAGCAGCAGCAGCAGCAGCAGCAACGCCAGCGTCAGCAGCAGCAGCAGCAGCAGCAGCAACACCAGCAACAGCAGCGACCACAACCGCGCGGGCCGAGGGAGCAGCGGCAGTCCGGCCAATCGTCTCAGGAGTCTGAGCCTGCTCCTCCGCCGCGACCTACGCTGTCCCTCACCTCTGCGAGCGAGCGCCAACGACAGGCATCAGTTCACTGCGGGTGACCTTCATCGGGCGGTACGGACACTACTGAGCTCCGGCATCTACAAGGCTGAATCTTTCGCTGATCTTCTTGCTGAAGCACAAGAGAAGTTCCCTGATGGTGCGTCGCCTGCCTTTGGAAGTGCTTCCGCGGATCATCTCACCCAGCAAGCGCTTGCAGTGCTGCAGGTGGATTTGACTGACATCCTCGACACCACTAGCCTGATCCAGGCGATCAAGCGCTACAGCTCCTTTGCGGGGACCGATGACCAAGGGTGCCAGGATTCGGCAACACCTGTCACCCCTTTCTAGTCATCCTGCAGCTTTGAAGCTCTACTGCCAACAGCTATAGGATTTATTGGCAGAAGGTAAAAAGTGCCTCAAGCAAAACAAAGGGTCCTTCTTGGCCGGATGCCGGATCTTCTTATTCCTGCCCTGTCAGCCATTCGTCGAGGAGGCAGATTTATTCCCCTCTCCAAGGGAGCTGATAAACCTGGTCTCCGGCCAATTGTCATCGGTTCTGCACACCGTCGACTCGCGACGAAGCTTGCTTTGGCAGGGATTCGCTCATTTCTTGACCAGCACTTCCTCTCGTCTCACCCTCGAGCGATTCAGTTCGGGCTCGATCGAGACGGCTGTCTGAAGTTCTCGCAAACCGCGTCAGCGCTCCTGCCCCTTCACGCTCGCGGTGATGATGAGGATGTGCCAACC